CCATACCTGCAGTCACACCACCATGGCCATTTCTCATTGTGGCTAAACTGACTTCAGTCCACCCCTTGGTGGACTTGGTACTGCCAACAAGAGTCTGCTCCCACTTTCATATTTGTTTTTCATATTGTCCCGGGCAGTTAATGTGTAATCATTTGAACTAAATAAAATTGCTGTTTTCATAGGCCCAAAACACTTGAATGTTGGCAAATGGTACAGCTCTCTAAAAATACACAGAGAGAGCTTTTCACCTCATGCTAGCCAGATGAAGCACCTGCTAAATGCCAACTATTACTTTACTTCATTCCATCCTCTGTTGGGGTGGTGTTATTTTCCTAGTGAAGATGGTCAGCCTCAGAAAGTTCAGGAACGTGTGCAAGAACTCACAGTCAACAAACAGCAGAACCAGAAAGGAGTTGTTTCCTGACCAGAATTCGCTCCCTCCCCATTCTGCCAGCATGCTACTTGCTCTCAGGCAGAGAAGCCTGTACCTCTGCCCTGCCCCCTCATGGGACTCCTGGAAGTGCAGACCTGCTCCCAGAAGCCTGCTCCCCCTGCCTGAGGTTAGAGCTCAAGGAATCAACTTGTTGGTAGAGACAGAAGAGAAAAATGCTGCCTAGAGGACTGAGTCCAGAGCTAACCCAGGAGTGGAAGGGGTGAAGCATTGTCCATATAAGGACGCATTTTCCTCTCTATGGAGAGGCCCCCTCATCCCCACATCTCCATCTTCCTCCCCCATGTTTCTTTGGGGGCACAACCAGGCCAGCAAAGGATGCAAGCCCTGGGGCCCAGACTTAGAAATGGAGTTCAGTTTCATCACAAGCAGTTTAAAATAGACAGCAAATACTAGCTGGCCTTAAGCTTTTATTACTATTATTTTTATCCCCTGGGCAGCCATGTGAGCACAAGCCTGGTTCTGATTAAGCACAGGGTCCTTCCAGTCCACTCCTTGCTGCGGTTCTCACGGAGGTTTAGTGGCTCAGCACCCTGGGCACCCCACAGTGCATGAGCAGCCCCAAAGAGGGGGTGGGTAGGAGGGCTTGTTTCCACCCCTGTGGGACTCCAAGACTGGAGGTATGCCTGCTTTGAAAGGGAAACGTGAGGCCCTTTCCTCATGGCCAGATGGAAAGATAAGGAACATGGAACTTCTAAAAACAAGCCTGAAGGCACATCATAGGGTAGTGTACTCACACGTCAGGGTAAAGCCAGCACCCAAAACTGAAGAGGGATGTAGAGGCAGGAAGCATGTGGATAGGGGCCTGTTGGGGGCCTTTCTGAAAGTGAAGACTTACGAAGCCGACTCAGAAGAAGGCAAGGCAATGTGTGAACAGGAAGAATGTATTGGTAGGTAAATGATCATTTTTCTGCTCTCCTGGGCACTAGGGCCTGCATTTTCTCCTTTGAGCCCCCTAAGACTGTGAGGTAGAGAAATCATTGTCATCTTCTTTGGACAGACGTGCAGCGGAGACACAGGCAGTTTAAATTTTTGCCTATGATCCCAAGATTTTTGATAACAAAACCAAAACTAGAACCTCCTCTCTCGGGCTTTAATCTAATGATGCTTGGCAGCAAGGCACAGCCAGCCCCATGAGAAGAGAAGGAATCTCAGTCCCTATATCCCGCCTTTCAGAAGCCCCGGAAACTTGGCCTCCTCATCCTTGGCTGGCTTATGCCTCAATTCATCCATCAGTTAAAAAACCCAACAAACAAAAAACCCTGACCCTTCTTTGTTTCCCTGTTCCTCTGATGCTCTGGAACTCACCAGGAGAAAGACAGCAAGGACAGTGCTGAAGCCAAGGAAGTCAGCACTACCTGTACACGCTCTGCCCTCTCCTTCTCTTCTTTAAAAAGAAAGAAAACAAATCCTGGGTAATTTAAATCGTCATTGGTATTTGTCAGAAGTGCTGGTCTTGAAGGAGGGGGAAAAGGCAGGGCCCAGGACAAGAGAATCGTAGACTTACCCGGCCCTCCTGGTGTATGGTTCCCTGGTCCCCAAATATGGAGGAAAATCACTAACAGGTTTTCTTGTCTCTTGGAATAACCCATGAAACCCTCTCTGTGCCCCCACTCTCACCATCCCCCCACACACAGACTCAACAGAGAGAGAGCACGAGCACCTGAGCAAGGAACCTAGGCATTTTCAACTTGCCAACACCTGTGGAGCTTCTGCATCATCTTGACACCCAGTCCCCAGGCCAGACCGATTAAACAGGATGGTAGGGAGGCGTGTCAAAGCTCTCTAGGTATAGGTGTGCTAATGTGCAGCCAAAGTTGAGAATCAGAAGTTGACAAATTTGTTCTGCGGATTTTTCTATAGCTGAGAATGACCACCATGGCTGGGGGAGAAAAGGAAGTCATCCTTTCCCCCAGGGCTTTCTGCCCCTCTATCCAAGTGCACTTGATGTGTGGGCAACCCCTGCAGGAGACGGGACATGGGCTCTGGATGGTGGGGTCCCTGACTCACCATAGGAGGCTCCTTTGCTCTTATGGAAGATGGCGGGCAACGCCCAGTGGGAGATGGCGGCAGGGCCAGGGGCTGGGTTGTCAAGTGCTGCCTAAAAGGATTTCCTCCAGCTTTGTTCGCTTATGCCCATCCCCTGCTTATGCCCATTCCTACTGTGTGGAAGTTGTATTTAAGGACTACAAGGAATCACCCCTATAGTTATATGTGTACAGCTTCTGGCTGTCTTTGGAGGGTCTTGCCCCCTACCACTCTGGAGGCCTGTGTGCCTAGGAGCTGCTGGTAAGCCTGGACAATGCCCACCCAGCCCTCACCCCGGACCACCCAAATAATGGGTTTTAGGTGAGAAGGAGGCCTGACAGGTGAGGGGGGCGGGCATTTATACAGGTAGATCTACATTCTGGAGTGGGATAAGGACCCAAATACCATCTAGAAGGAGAAATGCATCCAGATAGGGGTGTTAAGGATGCATGTATGTAAGGGCCGGACTGGGCACAGGTGCAGGTTTTCTGATCCCATGCAGACCGGGTAAAGGAGGAGTCAGAGTCCTCAGTGGATTTGCAGGTCTTTTATTGGGGTTCACCAGGCATATGGCAGGCAGGGGTGCTGGCTGGGGGGCTGGGAGGCTGGCAGGCCTCCCAGCCCCCAGCAAGTCTTTACTCTATCTGGGCTCTCTGGCGTTCTCTGCTTCTGCGTCGGCTTCTCCTTCAGGTTCTGCTGCTGCTGGCTGGGGCTGCTGGCATCACCCCGTGACGCCGCCCTTAAAAGCACAGTCTTAGGTCAGCTGAATCCCATCTACCTATGCCCACACCCTATTCCAGGTGCCCGCCATCAGGCATGCATTCAGGACAAGGATCCATCATCTATCCTGATGGCGGAAGGGCAGAAAAGCCTGATATTTTCTTTACCCTATAATGTACTAGGGCAGTGTACATCCCAGCTCCTAGTTCTCTGTTCCCCACACCCACCCCCAAAGCCCTAGGAGCTCAGTCTGAGAGAGAACAGGGTGTTAGTAGGCAGGACTGCCCCATCCTGGAGGTGGGCACAGTGAGCAGGCCCTTCCTCCCCAGCCAAGCCACAGGAATGTGGCCAAAGCCTCTGCTGGAAAGTCCCACCCGCTCCTTCCTCCCTCTGAGCTTCCTCTCTTCAGGAGCAGGAAAAGAATGGACAGGAAGAGGGCTCTGAGGGGAGCCTTCCTCCCAGCACCGTCCCTGAAGAGTGTTCCTTGTGGGCAAAATGCTGGAGCGTAGTGATAGCCGCTCAGCCAGTTGCTTCTCGCTGTAGCCCTGGGCGGTGTGGCTTCCCCAAAGCTTCCTAAGTCTCATTCAGGGCTAGTGAGGTCCTTTCCACCCACCCTGGCCCAGAACCCTCTGACCCTGTATCCCCAACAAGGGGGCTCTCCCTGGCATTATCCACATTCTGCATTAACTCCCGTGGGAGAAGGAGAGTGGGCGAGAGGCCCGAGGTGTTGTACTGTCCCCACTCAGTGTTTCACGTCTGCCCAGAAGGTTCACTGGATTTGCTTGGAGAGGGAGAACAAAAGCCCCCAGGATGGGTCCAAGACTGAGTCTGGGCATGCTGGCCTTCATTCTGCCTGGAGGTCAGATGGTCTGATTGTCCCTACCCGCATGTAGAAGGAAGTCAGAGAAAGCAGAGGTGCAAACCCCTCCAGACCATGAGACCAGGGGCAGGACCCTCTCTCTGCCTTCCTCTGTATGAGAGGTCTCTGCACAGAGCAGACTTTGAAAACCAGAACCTTGATGGTAAGAGATGGGGGAGAGGGGAGCAGAGCAGGTGTGATTCCTGAGGCATGTCGGCTGCAGAGGGGGAGCCTGCCCATCCATGCTGCCAGGGCAGCAGTGCTCTCTCCACCTGATTTTTTTTTTTTTTGCAATGTATTCTTTAATAAATAAAGTAAAAAAAACAAACAAAAAACCCAGAGCTAGAGATGTTGATACCATTACACAGGAAAATCCACATCATAAACAAAATATCTAGTCTCTCTTCTCTTTCTTTCTTTTTTTTTTTTTAGATTTATTTATTTATTTATACAAGCACTGGGTACAGTCAGAAGCGCGGGAGGGTGAGCGAATTCACCAGAGCCAGAGCAGGGAGCAGAGCAGGCAGAAGGACCGAAGTACACTGCTGAGGGGAGCAGCGGGCGGCAGGAGAGGTCTGCGCGCCATGTGGGACCCTCCTCCGGTGGCCGGGGAGCAGCCGGGGATCGAACCTGCACCGCAGAGGCTGCGGGCAGCTTCGCAACCCGGTGCTCAACTAATTTGCACATTCCTATTGCAATCATACCCTTCAAATTCTACTTTAATTTCTTCTTCAGAAACATACAAAGACCTCAGAATATTCTTCCCGTTGGTGCTCTCATGTAGAAAGGTGACCCGACTGCAGGTGCCGTCTATTCAGTGAGCCCTAGGGGCCCTTGGAGTGAAACAGGGAGAGGGGGGCTATAATTTTGAGGTGGGATTTTTATTGCTCATTTCCTTGGGCAGCTGCCAACTAATGTTTACTGTTGCCTGTTTTGTTCCAGACGCTCCTGCCAGTGAGAATGCCAAGGGCCCAGAGATGAAAGCCCGGAGACCCAAGAGTTCTCTTCCTCCTGTGCTAGGAACAGAGAGTAAGTATGTGCCCAGCTTTCCTGGGCAAAGTGAGGTGAGATAAGCCCAGGAATGAGGGCTGGCAGCAGAGTCCTTTGGATCCTTACCTGAGCTCCTCAACATCTGGCCCCTGCACATACCCCAGAATGACCCCAGAACTCTGGTGAGGAGCCAGTGGGGTCTCCACACCCCCTAGCTCCTTCCCCCAGCACCCAGTGGTGCTGCACATCTTGTTTGTCCTCCTTTACACATCCACCTTTCACTCACCTTTCTACTTCTCACCCATGTGAGCTTCTCCTGGTCTCTTCCAATTGAATCCATCCAGCTGGGTAGCACAGCTGTGGTATAAATGGCCAGGGGGGAAAGGAGTTTCTCCTGTAACTCTGGATCCATAGCTCCCTCCTTTTGATCTTGGCTCTCCCCAAGGCCCACTTCTCTATCAGACTCAGTGCCGAGGGCCCACAGGGCTTTTATAGGCCCACAAAGATTTTTTAATATCTTATATAATTGGAAGGAAAAAAATCTTAAACGAAAGAAAATGCCTTAATCCACATTGATATACTCATTTTATACCAATGCAGCTGTGAAATATAATTTGTGTGTGTGTTTGTGTGTGTGTATGTATGCATACACACACATCTATATTTTAATAGAGGAAGGGCCTAGAGCTCACAAAATTCATAACACAACCCTGGCTTCTGGTGATTATTGATCTAATTTTGTTAGAAATCTCAAATTTTAACAGAGGGTGTGGAGTTGCTTGACTATTTCCAAAACACTCTAATGCTTTTTTTTTTTTTTTTTTTTTTTTGAAAAGGCAGGGCAAGCTTAGAATTATCCATACTAATAGAGGAAATAGATTGAGGCTGTTTCAAACACTGCTTCTGTTTTTCCGTTACAAAGCAGTGTTCTATGACTTAGTTTTATTTTCTTCTCTACTTCTCAAAGAAACATATTTACCTTCCAAATGATGAGCTTGGATTCCTTGCACATATAGCAGCCAGGCCACTGGGGCATGCTCAGCCTTCAGTATGTCAGGCAACTGGAATTATAATTTCTCATGGATATTTAACCAAAATGGTGAGCTTCAGCTTAGCAAGAGTAGACATTTGATAAGTTGTTGGAAGTACAAAAGTAATTTTAAGAAAAACCTAGTAAGGGTGAGTTAATTATTTTAGTTTCCAAAAGGATTTCTTGGGCTCATGTTCTGTTGGTTATGGAAAAACGTGAGCAGAAGAGATGTGGGATCTTGGAAGCTTAATGGCGAATTGGGGACTGACGTCATGGTTGGCCTCTCCTAGGGCAGAGGCAGGAGTTATTGGTGTTTGAACGCTGTGGTCGGCAGCCTCCTGACCTCAGCTCTGGCACATCCATTCCAGTGAGATCCCGAGATCCCGAGGGCAGTGAGGTGGGGCGGAGGAGAACTGAGGAGGAGGAAAACAAGCCGGAGACAATGAGCAGATGTGGGAGCCGGGCTCTCTGCCTTGGAGAAGCAAGGCTGTGGACCCCAAATCAAGTTGTGCCAGCTGTAGAGCAGGACCCCTTAACCCCAGCTGAACGTTAGATTCACCTGGCGCCCAGGCTGATTAAATCAGAAGGTCTGGGAGTGGGAGCCAGTCTTCAGTATTTGTTTAAACTCCCAGGCCATTCCAGTGTGCGGTTGTTGGATGGGTGGGTCAGGTTGCAAACCAGCTGTTCCCGAGGGGAGCCTGGTGCCCCTGCATTATTAGTTTTGGGAAACAGGAGGAGGTCTTTGCCCTGTCAAGTGTTGCACTGCCTCTGGACTCTCATTCCAGGTCCCCTGAGTATCCCTATCACCCTCTTATTCTTTAGGAAGGAAGCAAGATGTTCTGCAGCGTGGAGGCGGAAAGCCAGGGTTCCTAAGTCTCAAGAGGGATCAGGGAATGGGGTCAGCGGTACTGCCTAGGGGTGGAGCAGGACCGGCAAAAAGTACTTTATCACCTTAGCAAACAAGCACATTCGCAACGGGATTAACTCAAGCAGATGCTGTCTGCAGAAGGAGAATTTCACTCTGTGTAGAGAGCCTTTGGCTTGTACTTACAGACAGTTGTCTTATCTCCAAAGGAATGCAAGTGTGTGTCTCCATGTACACTGATGACCACTGAGACTCCCATGCCCAGACCCCATCACCCCAGCCTGCTACCCTTCCTCCAGAGCACTGAGACATTCACCAGGTGGTTCCAGTTGCCCCTCCACCTGCTTACATGGATGTCCTTCAGAAACCTGCAGCGTTCCCTGGGAACCCCCAGGTCATCCCGGAGCTGCCTTTCCAGGAGGCGCCTTAGATAGGAAATGAAGAGGGTGTCTTTTAGGTCTGCATCGCTTGGTTCTTTTATCTCTTTTGGAGCTAATTTATATCTTTACTAATTATATAAGTTAAACATGCATGCATCCTTTTAAAAACATTTTAAACAGCATAGAAATGTACCTCATACAACTTGAAAGCCTTCTTTCATCTACACCCAGTTCCTCCCAGTTCTTCAAATATATTCACAATTACTTTTTTTCTGTGCATTTACATGTACATATACAAATATATCCTGCAGTCTATACACCTCTGCACCTTGCCCTTTCTCTTAGCATTGCTGCCTAGACCCCTCTGATTCCATGAGAAATCCCAGAGACCCATGTCCTGAGGGGTCTGGCTATGAATGTATATTCATTTTTGTCAAAAGTACCAGGAAATCCATCTTTCCTCCAGTGTCCACAAGGAAGCTGAGTGGTTTTTTGTCAAACAGATCAGGGATAGATTCTCTCTGCTGTTCCCCCACCCCCATCCATCTCAGATACTCAGTCCTGTGAGTAGCTGTCAGGTGAAAGTGTGGGCAGCATTTGTCCACAACATGGCCTGAGAATCCCAGAGAGCTGGGTCACTGCTGAGCACTGACAGTGTGAGGGAAAAGCCAGGTTCCCCAACCTAGGGCCACAGTGAGAGAAAACTGACAAAATGCAAGTTAACCTGCCAGAAAGCAACTTATAAGCACAGGAGTGAGAAGGGAGTAGCTTGGGGAGATATGGGGATGATGAGGGAATTCTGGACCAGGTTATGGAGGAGAGAGGAATCTAGTTTGGTCAAAGAGGAAGATGGTATTGTGGGTGGAGTGGAGGGAGAAAATGCAGACCCTTGAAATATTGTGAGGGCCCCCAACTCGGGGCACCATCCACTCATCATACAAAACAAGTTTATTGCACACCTCTGTAGCTGTCATCATTTTAATCGTTCAATCTGTGTCACTTCAGGCAAGTCTCACTCAGCTGAGCTACAAATACTTGCTCCCATTTTACAGGTGAGCAAAATTGAGCCTTAGAGAACACATTGTCCTGCCCAAGGTCTCCCAAATGGTAAGATGTGGAGCTGTGAGGGCAACCCTGAGCTGCAGTCCTGTCACGCTGTGTCTTGCCACAGTCCTAGGTCCTTACTTTGTGCGGTCCACAGAAGCCTGGACAGTGCTGCCCACTAGGGGTGTGGAGGTCTAGTGTCCTGGAGCTAGGGGGAGAGGGAAGGTGATACTAGACATGGTTTCCTGGGACTTGGGATTGTCTGGGTATTTCCTGCCTACCTCTTAATAGGAATTCTTTTTATAGCTTTATCATTTCAAATTTGTAGGAGAGTTGTAAGAATAATACAAAATGCTGTGTATACCATTAGATTCACCAATTCTTTACATTTTTCAATTTTTTACATTGCTCCATTGATCTATCATTCTCTATGTTTATATTCATATATACATTCACCATTTATCATATAATCTCATATATTTATTTTTTTCCCACCATACATCATGTATATATGCACTATAAATTTATTCATATGTATTCACCATCATCGTGTGTTCTCATGTTTTTTATCATGTTATACATCATATAGATATAATACATACTATGTACACGTTCACGTATATAGTCACCATTCATATTCAGACATAGATATCCCATTTATGAATGAATTAGAGACTGCATTATATATCGCCAAAAAAGAGCCACATTATTTAAATCAGGATGTTTAACATTTAATTAATACTGCTATCTAATCTGGTCTATTTTCAATTGTCCCAGTATCCTTTATAATTGCTTTCCCCTATCTAATGGGAATGTAAAGTTAGAACTGCAGAGCATTTCATCCAGGACTCCTCCACTTGAGCTGAGGGGCTTTGGGGGTGCAGCAATGCCCTCTGGGATCTCTGTATGCCATTTGCTGTACTAGGTTCTGGGGCAGTGCTCAGGCACTCAGCATAGTAGACAGCCACAGGACAAGAGCAGGGACAAAAGCCTTCCTTCTGCCACTCATTGAACATGTGGCCTTGTCAAGTCCCTTCATCCCTCTGAAACTTATTTTCTGTGACTGACCCCAGGCCTTTTCCAGTTCCAGCATCAGCATCAGGCCATTTAATGGGATGCTTGCTTGCTTTCTCTCTCTCTTTTTTTTTTTTTTTTTTTTTTTTTTTGAGTGATGCAGTTCGGTGAGCTTGGCGACACGCCTCCTGTCACCTGATGTGTGAAGCATGGAAGCCAGCATGCCTCAAGTACAAAGCAGCAGAAACATCCCAAGGAAGAGGAGACCTCCTCCTTAGGCCCAGTTTTAGAATATTCCAGTTGGAGAAGATCTAGATGAGATTTTGTGTGAGGGAAGAATTGATGGAGCTTAAGGAATAGTCTTAGAAAATACAGCTGAAGTAATGCCAGCATGATCACAGATTCTGGGACCCCTCCCATCAGTCTGAAGAGCTGATGACCTTTTGGATGAGAGATAGCTGAGTACCCATAGGTTGTGCTTGCAACTCAAGGACAGGACTAGGGCCTAGCCATCTCTGAAACTTTAGTGCCTGGCCCAAACTAAGGTAATAATAAGTACCTGACTTCTTAAATCAGTTCACTAGTTCCCTTGTGTCACAGGCCTGTGCATCCTTTATACTTCTGGTGTTTGGGGATGAAATGCCCCTTTGTAGTCTATGCCTCACCTTGGCCTAAGCTTCCTCTCTGACAACTGGCCACTGTTGCT